AGGATACAAAAAAAAAAGGGAGAGGCAGGTCGAATGGTATTTCACCAATTTTCCACAGTTGCGGGTGGAATTTTCCAAAACCCCATCACGAAAACATTTTCAAAATACATTTGGATATGTTTTTAGAAAAAGAAAAAAAAAACATTCTCTTCCTGGCATTTGGTATAAACTGATTAGCCTAGCATGATCTACGCTCTATGTGAAGACGAGTCGTGGTGTGACAAGAGTTTGTTGCCCTGAAAATACCTTAAACTTGGCTTTCAATGAAAGCACTATTTGCTAAATAGGCACTTTACAACACTTACAAATGCCCAGCAGCAGCTGCTGCACTTGCGTCTAGGTGAACAGTTCGACAAAACTGAAGCAATTTAGTTAAATGGCGGACACTTACCGTAACAGCGCCCCCCCCCCCTCTCTCTTCTCTCTCTCTCTCTCTCTCTCTCTCTCTCGCGTTCTCCGGCAATAATATGCAATTCGAAATAATGAAAAGCGAGCAAAAGGAAATAGTATAACTAGGGGAACCTAAACATTTTGTGCGTCTATCACCTGTCCGGCAACAAATGTGACGACGCCTAAGTAGCTTTTCATGTAGCAGGAGGCTGGTGGGAGGTGGGAGGTGGCAGGGGCGGGCGGCAGTGCAGCGGGCCGGGTAGGCGGACGGGCGGACGGGCGGACTGGCGGATGATGGCTGCCCAACAGCTATTTAGTTAATTTTTCGAGCGTCGTCTGGGCCATTGAAAAATTACTCGAAGCTCTCTAGCCAACATTTTTCTTTTGATGTAATTGCCCAGCAGTGCGGGGCGGGGGCTGGGGCAATTGGGGCGCTAATGAATGGTGGTCGGGCGAGGGGGCGAGGGGCATACTGTTGGCCAGTTGGGTGCGGCTATTCATTGATTAACTGCCAGGACTCAACACTGCTGCCCAGTTTAGACGCCTCTCGGGCTCCTTATTCATTTGACATTTTAATTTTGGGCTTTTTGAATTCTCTTCTGCTTCGTGGTATTTATTTTGTTGTTGTCTTGGGGTTCCGGCTGGCATTCAAAGTTGAAATACCTGAAAATGTTTGGTAATTTAGATCAAAGGCGGCAAGTACGTGCAGGCATTTACGCGCCATATACCCCTAGCTACCCCCGGCACGGCCCTGGCCAGGCACCCAGCACCCGGCACCCGGCATCCTTCACCACCTTGACAACCCAGCGCGGGGACAGAACTTTCTGTGACACACGAAAATACTTCTTAAGTCGGATTAAGTAATTTTCGTGTGCCACTTTCAATTTGTTGTTGCTGTATGTTGCTTTCAGCGTTTTCCTCCAATTTTATTATTTTTTATTTTATTTTTTTTTTTGAGAGACTACAAAATGCTGGCAAAGTTTTTGAGCCTTTCTGGTAGGCTTTGGTGGGGCTTTTCTTTCATGTGCCCACCACGGAGCGCAGCTGCAAAAATAATCAGGAAACAATGGAGCATAGGGAGGGTACTTAAGGCAATTACACGCAGACAAATATCGATAAGTTGGGCAACGGCATTAGACAAAGGAAAGGCCCAGGCCTATTATCGATAGTTGCTCTTATTTTAATTATAATTTTGTTCAAATAGCTCGAAAGAAAAGATGAATGAGAATCGAGAAGAGGAAACTCGAGTATCGATAGTTGGTTTGTTCACGTTTTTATTGTGCAATCAATGCATCCGATTGGTCGATTGGTCAGCGAAGACGGAAACAGTGTTGCAAAACGAGCTTATTAACTTATCGTTTACACAAAGCGGAAGAAAAAAAAATGCAATGCTCATTAAACGTGATCCAAGCGGCAAATGGGCCCATCTTCAACCATTTTCAGATCTACCTTGGATCCAACCAGATCCCGTATATTATTAATGCCATACTTGATCATTGTGGGCCGTTCGAGCGAGAGGCCCCAAGCAATAACATTCACATCCTTCGGCAGGCCCATGGGCAGCAGCAGCTCCGGTCGAAAGACGCCCGAGTTGCCCACCTCAATCCATTTGGCCAGGCCGGGATGATAGCAGAATATCTCCATGCTGGGCTCCGTGTACGGATTATATGCTGGCTTGAACTCCAACCGGGTAATGCCCAATTTGCAAAAGAATTCATGCAGAGTGCCAATTAGAACGCCCAGGGTGAGGCCAACGTCAGCGATAACGCCCTCAACCTGATGGAACTCGGCGAGGTGCGTTGCGTCCAGCGTTTCGTTGCGAAACACCTTGTCAATGCTAAAGTACTTGGCGGGCTTAAAGCCGCCGGCCTGGTTGGCCAGCTGGAACAGAACGCGTGCACTCACGGCCGTTGTGTGGGTGCGCAACAGATTCTTTTGAGCCTCGGCCAGTTGCCACTCATAGCCGTAGCCCAGCGAGCCGTAGCCACCCACCGAATGTACGGTCTGGACGCGCCGCACATAATCCTCGGGCAGTTCGCCGCACTGGGCCGGCTTTTGGATGAAGAACGTATCGTGGGCATCGCGTGCCGGATGCTGTTGCGGCTGGAAGAGTGCATCGAAATTCCAGAACGATGCCTCCACATAATTGTTGGTGGCCATCTCCGAGAAGCCCATCTCGAGAAAGATTTGACGAAACTCGGTGCGCACCTTGAGCAACGGATGCAGCTGTCCACGCATTGGCGATGCGCCCAGTGCATCGAAATTGTAGGCCTTAAACTCGAGCTGCTGCCACTGGCCGGTGGCCAGCATGTCCATGGTGAGGTCCGTTTCCAGCTTAGTCAGCGTGGTGGCAAACTCTGGTCCTTTGCTTAGCCGAAAGCTTTTAATGCTTAACTCCTGCAACAGCTTGCGCTTTTTGTAGTCAGCCAAATCCTGAGCCGACAGCTGGGCCTCGCCTCCTGCCAGCTGCAGCTGCAGCAGCTGTTCCTGCACATGGTCTACTATGTTGGCCACCTTGCGCCGGATTAGCGGCGGTTGCACGCTTTTGTCCAGCCACAGCCAGCCATGTGACATGGCCTTGCTGAAGCCCAGCTTGGCATTGCAGCCGCCCGAGGCCAGCAAGTCCGCCTGAGCTATGCCCCCCTTACCGGGCACCGCGGCATAGATAATGGCCTCGTGGCTGCCACGCAACGCCACAGACTGTCCCTCCTCGGTCAGCTGAAGGGATTTGTGCGTAAGTGCCTCCGCTTTGAGCAGCTCGCCATGCGCCTGAATGCTCTTCACTGCGCCCACAATTTTCTGATGCTCTATATCAAACTGTTTGGCCAAATGCAAAGTGTCAACCTCTTCGCAGCTCTTCAGATGCAGCAAAATGCGCTCCGTCAAATCGAACTCCATCTGGGAAGCCATTTTCACTTATGTATCACGCAAATCTCGAGAGCCTTGAAATTGCAAACCAAATGGCGTACACGAATTTACAGCTCAACCAGAAAGCAACGATTGCTGCTGTTTAGTCACTTTATTGATAACTGCTCGTTGCGATAGTTTCAGATTATGGATGAACTTTTAGAAATAGTCAGAAATGTCGGAAATGACGCGAAGTTAACTAACCTAATAGCAAATGGCCTAATTCCACTCTAAGCATTTCTAACATTTTTTTGGGAATGTCACATTTTCTTTTCTAACGTGTAAAATGTTGCCTGTACGTTTTCCCATAAGAAAACACATTTTTCACATATGCAAAAATATGTGACAGTTGCAAATGTGATTATTCGCCCCGAATAATTCGTGTTTTTTTGCTATGGATTAGCGAATTTCGTATCGATGTTATGAAAAATATGAAAGTATCATAACTTTAAATTATAATTTTATATTTTACTAATACCTCAGTTTTGAGCATTGGAGCCCCGACTACGAGAACATATTATTTGACTATTGGTAGGAATACTTTGCGGCGCTTAGGTAAATCGAATCAAACCGAGCAGCTGTTTAGTTAAAGAAACGGACAAAATGTGAAGTTTGTAAATGAAAAATTGGTCGAGCATAGTGGAATCAGGGAAATGATGTGATTGAACTAGAGCCAGAAAAGCGTATAGCAGGCTGTGTTAGGCATCTATAATCTAGCATTATGCATATTCTTGAACAAGCTAATAATCTATGTACATATATCTTTATCTTGCCCCACTGCCATAATTTCGATAAGCGTCGATGGAAAAGCACAAGTGCGATATTTATGACGATTATCGTTAATCGCTTTTGTGTGATTATCAAAGCGTGTTCTTGTCCATATTTTGCCAGAGCCTTTTTGTTTCATTTTGTTCATAACACTTAAGCTAAATACGCATGAAAAGCAAATCTCATGCTTGAGTTGGGCGCATTGAAGGAGCTGTGCCATCAAGCTGCCAGTTTATTAATAATAACGAAATGTAGACACGCAATGCCAACATATTTTTATGTACATACATATGTATGTACATGTATACACAATGTACATGTATAAACATATACATGTGTATATGTGCATGCGGATCGCAACAGACACTAGTTTAGTTAGCACAACAATGTTACGCATTTGAACAATTGTTTTTAGCTTTGTGGCAAACTTTGTTGTATATGAATTTCAATTTGCTTTATATGCGCTGAATCAAAATGTGAGACGAACTGCTGAAAGGCAGCTGCAACGGATGCCCAGCGGAAAATGTTGGGTTGGCGCCGCATTCTTCTCAGCTAAGTGAGCTGCGATTGAAGTCAACGTAGTTATAAGTTTGTCATGCAAAGAACCAAATTGGTTGACTGCAAAATACCCTGTACGGAGTCGAAGAACCGAAGAATAAGCCTCAGCTCAACAACAACAAATCTTTAGTTTTGTCTATCGATTTTTAAAGTTGAGAATTGAGCTGGCAATTAGCTTAGACAGGGGAACCAAGAAACATTTTAGAGTAAAGTACATCGCATCCATGTGATATGAGATATCGCTTGGGAGCTACAACTCTTTAACCTGTTCGTCAAATATGCACTCACTAAAGTATCGCGGCGGACTAACCAACAGCCATTGGGGAGAGGGTGTACATTTAAATATTTACAGGGTATTCACAAAGCTAAGGACGTACCTGGTCTCTGCCGCAGTCTTCACTTTGCAGTTAACTACTTTCGTCTTTTGCGCACATTTGCATAACTTCATCAACTTCCAACTCAGCAACTTTATGGATTCGGCGTGTGTGTGTGTGTGTGTGTGTGGCTGTGTGTGTGTGTGGGTGGCCGCAAATGCTGCGCTTGACTGGCAATGCAAATTGACAGCTGTCAATCAAACGGGTCTGGTCCGGGCAAACGGCTGCAATCGGCTGTATTATGCGAGGCAGCTGCCACTTGAGCCACGAAATGTGCGACAAGTAGATAACTATATATGGTATGTGTGTGTGGGGCAACAGATGCTGCCAGAATACATCCCAGCAACTGCAGCTGGCGTTGCACTTCAAATTGATTAAGCGGCCCACTGCCGGCGGCAAGGCAGGTGGCAATTGGATTGGCCAAGTTAAGCTGCCAACTTTTTGGCCCAACTTGCGGGCCAAAACTTTGCCAGCAGCAGCAGCTGCTTTAAATACCCTGTACCCATTACACGGCCAGAACGAGCTATGTTCAGCCATTTGTATGCGCTCAGCTGAAAGTAAATCAATTAAATGTGACACATAAGTTTTCTTCGAAATCAATTTGCAGCTGTGCTTTTTTTCTTTCCACTACTTCATAAGAGCTTAAGACAAGTAAAGTGTATTTCAGTTTTTGTAAGCCTGCCTTCGTTTTACCAAACATAAGAAGTTTACTCTTCTTGAAGGAAATCTCTGGCCCCTGAGAACTTTGTGACGATCCGACAAAAAGCCCAAAAGTTCACTCAGAATGACAAATCTAGGGTATGCCTCAACCACGAATCATCTCGATTTGAGCACTTTTACTTGTTTGAAAACTATTTTATTGAGTGACTAAAGGCCAGTCTGCCATGTCATAAATGTGTGTGTGTGTGTGCGTGTGCGTGTGTGTGTGTGTGTGAGCAGCTGTCAACTTTTCTAGCAACTCGCACACACTTGACAACTTCCGGTCGTGTTCATGTCTCTGCAGCTACAATACGCACACACACACACACACACACACACACACACACACTCACACACACACACTCTGTGTGGATTTCAGAGTCGACGTCTGCCAGTTATTAAGTTTGCGGCCACAAACTTGCCGTCCACTAAAGTTTATGCTTCATTCTGATTGGCTTTGTCAGGTCACCACCCAGCCACCCAATCGCCCAGCCAGCAGCAGCGGCAAAAGCTATGTGTCTTTTTTAGTGGCCAACTCATAAAACTTCATTAAATTTCAGTTTTTATCTTAGCTTTCAAATGCGTCTATCATATATGTACTTAGATGTTACACATTTTGGCCGCAGACTATTTATAAAGCTTTGCTATATACATATATATAAATATAATTATATATATATATATATTTTTGTATTTTTTCTGGCAAGCATTATGTACGCCTTATGGCACACGTTATTTAGTTTTTAAGCTGATTTAACTGTGTAGTTTTGGGATTTTTATTTTGGGGAAAATGTTGTGTGTGCTCCGCCCTGTTTCTTTTGCTTTGATAAGTATGCCCAGCATATTTTTGCGCATTTATAAGTGCCGCTCGGGGCGTTTGTTATTTTAACTCCTACCAACCACCCGCTCAAAAGCTGGCTTGTTTTCTTTTTCCACTTAGCCTTTTTTTTCCCCAAATGTTATTATATGCAAGTGCCCCAAGCTACCAAAGACAGCACCCAGCCCGCCCACAATTCGGCGCTGTTGAAAACTTTACTCTTTATTATTATTATTTTTCAATCTGTAATTTTGCATAAAAATTGTACTATGCAATTATTTGTGATGCCCAATAAGTGCGCTTGCATACGGTTTGAATAAACGAAACTAATATAAGCATGAACATGAATATTAATATGAATATGAATATGAATATGAATATGAATATGAATAGGTTGAGAAGCGTTCAATAAATACCTTTGTCTGGCCATCTATGGTTTCACTAATTCTCGCAAATTGAATGTTAAGCTGCTTGAATCAAATGAAATTTCACATTTCCATAAATCGAATAGCAGCAAAAAGCAATTTGATATGGGTTTGGCATTTCACTCAGAGCAACTGTTAAGTAAGCAGCCTGCAAAGCTTTCATATTACATTTTACATGCCCTTTTCAAGCACATTCACCTGGAATCGGCAGTAGGCAGGCTCGAAGGCTAAACTATGGGTCAGCGATCGATTCGGTAATGTGCTTTCGTATCTACGACCAAGAAAAACACTGTTAATGATTCTCATAAAGCTGTTAGAGTATTAGAAGTACTCCTTAGCATATTAAAACTCCTTCTTTTTTAAGAGCTAAACACACCAAATTTAGTATGTAGGATCTTCTTCATTTTGAATGCACCATGCTCTTTTCCCTACAAATAATAAAAGCTAAAACCTTGCGCCTTTAAGATTAACACACAACGATCGGACTGAATAGTCCGATCCTATTTAAGAATAGATTTTTTCTAGTGTGCAACAGAGAGAAGCTGCGTAATTGAATTATTTTAACTTTACGCACTGATTATAATACGCTCTGCAAAATTAAAGTAATTATTAAGAAATTGAATTAATACTTAGTCTTGAAACATCACAAACGAAGTAGCACAAATTGCATGTTTGATTTGTAGTCAGTTCAATTCGTTAAATAATATATATATATATAACATATAGCATTAGCTCTCTATATGTAATTATGTATGATTTAAGTTAATTTGTTTTAGAAATTTATATTTAAACTTAACTTAGTCCTGATATTTTTTATAAGTACGGATATATGCTTTTATGTAGCTTTGGTTTTACCCCAAATATTTGGATTCAAATTAAAAAAAAAAAAAAAAAATAAGAAATTCAAAATTGAATTTTACTTATGAAATCCCCTTAATGTGTTTTTAAACCAACAAATATTCTTTTCTTCAATTTTTTTCAGTGTATCTCTGTGTCTCTGTGTGTAGCAAAGTCCCCAATCCCCGCCCCACTTAATCAAAAAATAATCAGAAACGAAAAATAATCTCAACAAACAAGTTCTTGATGTATGCTATTTGCTTGAAACTTTTGGACACTTCGGCTAGCCGAGGCTTAAATACTCTTTCCACATATAACTTTAACATGGGGGATATTTAGTAGATATATGTACTTTCGACTTTTTATATGAATGCTTAAACCAAATGGCAGCTAGCTTTGAATACAATCCGCAGAAAAAAAAGAAAAATATCATTGTAATTGCCAGATAAAGACAACCTACAAAATTCCATATTGATAGGTTTCGGACTTGAAAACATCGACTTCTAAGTAGGGATGAATTAGTTAATGGGAAAATAGTATATATATTAAAAGAAAAAGAGAATTAATAATTTGCAGAGCTCAAATATTCTTAGTAAATCAGAATATGCCACGTTTATGCAAAGTATTGAGATTTCAAATATGTATATGTCAAAAGGGAATTTCAAACTTGTTTGATATTATCAACAAATTATACATTAAAGAAATATTAAAATGTCTAATGGAAACTTAAAGTGGGATTCCGAAAATATAAACAAAAAAATGTTTTCATAGATTTCACCTGCCTGAAAATACGTCAAGTAGACTTTAGGACTTATGTGGGCTGCATTAATGGACTGATAGATGGAAGATATTTGCAATAGCTGCAGTTAAAAAACTTGTTCAGAATAAGTGAAGCCTGGGGTAAATGCTTTGCGAAGGGAAAGAGTATATAAATTCCGATTGATTTCATTTTAATTTTCGAAACCAAACAGCAAAACTCTACCAAAAAGCAAAACCAATAAAAAAAAAAGAAATAACATTTGTTGGGTGCATTGGTGAAAGGTATGCAAAGGCGTTGTTAATTCAATGAAAAACTAAATCACGTGCAAATTGAGGCAACCGCACGCACGACCGAAGGAACACGCCAGCAACAGGACAGCAACATTAACAACAACAACAACAACAACAACAACAGCAGCAGCAGCAGCAGCAGCAACAACAACAACAGCAACAATAACCTGAGAGCCACATAGCAATATTTGTGGCAAATAGCTCGGTTTGCAATTGGATAACTAAAGGGATCTGCAGCGCTGCAGACACAGAACGCCATGCGCCATGTCAAAACTGCGGCATTACAGGTCCATGGATCAGACCAGCAGCGGCGTCGTCATACGCAAAAAGTTAGCTAATGAACAAGTCTTAAAATCACTTCTTAGCAACTGACCAAGCATATCTAAACACACAACAACAACAACAACAGCAACAGCAACAGCTCGAAAGGCAGCTAATGTGAATTTAGCTTCCATCGGAACGCACTCTAACTGCAGTCTTTTGCGTTGCTATAAACATTTTTCAACTCCACCACTCCACCACAGGCACACATAAGCTCACCATAGCACATCACCCACAGCAAAAGCCTCAAGTTCAGCATGTGACATTTGCAGCTTTTTGAAACACTTTGCATGTGCTTCTATCGCATAAGCTTTAAGCATGTTTTTATTTGAATTAAGTTCATTTCATTTTGCACTCGATTAAACAAAGCTCACAAGCGCTAGCGTAAGTCAGGCTCTTACAGCCAAAGCTCTAACAGTGAAAGCTTTCTTGAGCAGCCAGCATTCGTCTTGCCACAAAAGACACGAAGGGATAAAGTCATCAGCAGTTCCAATTTTTTACACATTTGCATGTTAACGATTAATTAAAATGGATGCCCGAGAGCTTTCTATACAATTTCTTTAATTGCCCATTGTTTCAAGTTGTAAAAAAAAAGTTTTTTTCATTGACAAAAAAGACACTACGTTGTCCTTCGTCTCAAAATTTGGGCACAACCCACAAACTATCTAACGGTAATAAAAGTTCAATGGAAGCTTTCACTTTACACACTTTCGAATATATGCACTTTTAGCTTTTACCAAGCTAAAAGCTCTCTCGCAAACCATTTACGACAACCAAAAGCTTATTTGAATCCTTGCTGGAATTTGCCCGAGCCCAATTCAATCCGCACTTCCTTCACATACGCTTAGCCTGCTGCTCCCTGCTGTATTTACATGGCTGTTTCTTTACGTATTATCCTTCTCGTTGCAGGACTATGACAGCCGTATGCTTTGTGTGCAACCTGCCGATTATGTCGCATCAGGTTGGTCTGGTGTGGCAGGGCGGCAATGGCTGGGACGACTTGATGCGCGAACAGGTTGGTCAAGTCCGTGACAAGTCCGAGCCTTGAACTCTCGCCTAATTGTCTATCTTTCTCTCTCGCGTCTCTCTCGCTCTGCAGCTCGAAGAATCCACGATACGCCAGCGTCTTGGAGGCCGTCGCGATTCGGCCGCACAGATCACAACGCCGCCGAGCTCATCGCCGCCTCCTGGCCTGCAACGACGCCGGCGCAGCTCGCTGGCTCAACTCACTGACATCTTGCGCGAATGGAGCGGCGGTGCCAGCAGGCAGCAGCATCAGCAACAACAGCAGCAGCAGCAGGCGGCACGGAACAAGGCGCATTTGAATCGACGCGAAACGCTCGCGGATCTGGCTCGCAGTCTGCCCTGGCGCACTTCCACCACAGATG